TTACCAATACTATCATAAGTTGTGCATTTAACAATGTAAGTGATGTTCATGTTGTTGAGTTCTATGATTCGAGAATATAAAAGCTTTTCGTTAATAAGATTTGGAGGGTTAAAATAAAAGCTTTTCGTTAAAGGGTTAGATTCACTACGAAACAAGTACAAAACGAATGGAGGTGATTGAAACAATATATTCTGAGACGTTAAGGAGGAGTTAACCATCAGTTTGTGATCGACCCTTTCTTTCTAAACACTAGGGATGTCATCGAAAACAAAAAAAAAAATCCGTTAGGTAATGATCTCTTTTCCATAGGTTTTAATGTTTTGCTGAACTATTAGATAGATGCCAGGATTCGGCATAAGAAAACATCGTTAGTTCGGTACAATGCTTATAAGATTAGACGTGTTATTATTTGAGTTCCTACTTTCATTGAAACAGAACAATATATAAAGAAGAACATTTTGTCCATTTCAATGCAATAAGAAACTCTTAAGCGAGCATCCAAATCTGTTAAACTACTCGAAATAACATTTTTCAAATCCCTGGAATGTATAGCACAGTGAATATGAATCACATCTAGCAAGATCATCCTGCACGGACCAATATTCATTGAACATAATCTTTTTCGGCTCCAATGTTATCTTCCTGAAATCACATCGAAATTTAAAAACTCGTGTAAAATTGAGGGCCTTTTTGTCGACATTACAAAACTCATAATCATTAAACATGAGTTCCTAACCATATTACAATTTGCTTTCTCCATAGTTATTACATACGAGTGTTGTTAACTATGTGCAATCTCCATAATCAAAAGCTTATTATGATTTTCATTCCTAACTCCAAATTCGTGTTAGGAAGCAATTTGTTTTAACCCACTTGGAAATCAAACGTCCCTAACCGGATGTTCCAAAAGGGGCTTTAATGATCGAAAACAAAAGTAAAGAACAAATTGGAAGAAGAACCAAAAAAACTGGGGTTAATAGCAATCGTGATTGAAACAATTTTGGAGTTTTTTTCTCAAGATTTCAGGGTCTTGTAAATAACTTATTTCAGGGTCTTGGACCCTAACCGAATCATCCGTGACTAAGAACAAGACAATTAGACAGTTTTTGGTTCCGATTCCAATTTCTAATTTTCCTTCTTTATCAAAATCCATCGTAGTTGTTGGTTCTGAAATTTATGTGATCGGTGGTCTAGTCGACGGAGCACCGTCTTCCGCCGTAGGAATCCTCGATTGTTGCAGTCACACTTGGCGCGATGCACCTAGCATGAACGTATCCCGGAATTATGCCTCTTCATGTTTCTACGATGGGAAAATCTATGCATTTGGAGGGTGCAGAGTATTAGGGTATGATGAACCGTGGGGTGAGATATTCGACACAAAGACTCAGACTTGGGAACGACTGAAATACGTAAGTGTTACATTTCCAGAATCAAAGAGATTGAAGGAAAGATTAAGTTTGGGAATACAAACAATAGATATGTGAAAACGAGAGTGCTTTGTTTCTGAGGTCAGAATGTGAGTGGAAATGTATCGTACCGCTATGGTAGCTCAAGTCAATACATGTGTCAGTGGTACGACAAAAAGGATGGAAATTGGAAAGAGGTTTAAGGGTTAGACTCACTACGAAGCAGGTACAGGAGGAATGGTGGCTCAAGTACTGGTATTAGAAAGTTAGCTGTGGTGGGAAACTCTTACTTATTTGGCAAGTGTATACGAAGCCTAACCCCGATGATATGATGAAGATTTGGTGCGCTGAAATCGTGCTGGAAAAACGCGATGGAGGTGAGGTTTGGGGAAACGTGGAGTGGATTGATGTTGTGCATTACCAAAAATATCATAAGTCTCAGATCTTCGTCTTTGGAAGGATTTTCCGGCCACCATTTTGAGGGGCTTATGTGATAAAAAAACAGAAGTAGAGAACAAATCGGAAGAGACAAAAAAAAGAGAGGGGACCAATTGGGTGTTTATACCATCCTATGTTGGTCTTTTAAATAACTAATTTAAACTAGGGGCTGTTATGCAATTAATAAAATAAAATGTCATATTATGATATTTATAATTTTGTATGCCAAATACTTTTTTTCCTCATTTTGGTCCAGTTTCAGAAAACTTCACGTTCGCTACGCTATGAAGATCCAAGTAGAACCACCGG